GAACCGCCTTATGCTGGATGCGATCAAACGGAAGTAGCTGGCACTGGGGATCCCCGGCCCAGAGATGTGAATAGTATTCTATGTAAGGCCGAACCTATGCCTTGTAAAGTTGCAGACGTTGTGCCGGCATGAAATACTGTCCCACGCCAAGCTTTATAGTGGCTAATTTAGCATTTTCTTCCAAGTGACCACGAAACTGTACGTCATTTATAATGTCGACGCCAAGGATTCCGATACTGGCTGAGGCAACCACACATGCGTTACAAAAATAAGGAGATACGACAAAGTGATTATTTTAAGCGATAAACGCGCAAACTTGTGTCCTCTTGGGATTTAACCAGTCAGGATTTAGTCGCCCTTAATCCGAGAATTTGTTCAACAAAATTTCGACTTCGAACACAAGTTTGTTCTAGTACAGGTTGACGTTTTCCAGAGAGATATTGGCACGGCCATGATTGTTAGTGGTTTACAATATATAACTGACATGCAAAATAAACAGTGTTGATGATAGCACATAGCTTGTGTGACACCAGCATTAATAGGCTTATAATCGGAGCATGCATTGTCTTATACGACCTTAATGCTCTGATCAGCCAGAAATTTGGTGAACTAATTGCACAATTTCTTGGGAAGCCCATAGGAAGCAAGCTTCGAAAGAAGCGCTTTCTAGAAGTGAATCCTCCCACTTGGACTCACAAGAACATCACCGACTGAGCGACCCCGAAGAAAATAATACTGTCAGTCACTGATCAGGTGGTGCTCCTCAAGGTACCGCATGAGCTGGAAGTTAACAATGATTTTCGTTATTTTCGAGAACAAGGGGATGATGGCGATAGGCTTGTAGTAGAACAGATTAGCGGTTTCATAGGTCGATTGGATTTGGTGGGATCCGGTGCACGACAGACGTCTTCCATGGGTTTTTGCGACTACCCTTAGGGAGTAGGAGTACCGGTGCCAACTCTGGAGCACTTGTCGTCAGCGCAATTACGGGGATTCCGTCAAGCCCTCTCAACTTGTGGATTTCGAGGGAGAGAAGGGTTTTGCGTATTGAGCACTGTGTGAATCGCTTTATTGGTATAGAGCACTCATATCGGGGGGTAGTCAGCTGTGTTTCACTATGTCATCGAAAGTCGAATTGGTCGCAAAAAAGGAGCCTAAAAGGTCTAAGCTTGAAGAAGAATAATTTTCTAAGGCGTAGTGAAATTCATTGAAAATATTTCCCATGCTTTAAACGATTATTTTCATTATTCTTAAAATAAGGATTTCTACTATAATTTTAAATGGTTCGATAAATTACTATATAATTTATTTGGGACTCTCACTGGCCAATTGGTTCGTGGTAGGAATTACTAAGGAGATAAAGTTTTCGGTAAGGCACTAAATTAATAAATTCCAAACTTGTTAAACTTTTAATGCATTAAAGTGTAGGTGTTCATTTTACTTTCTATGAAATTTATTAACGATGTCTCGCATATCACTAAAACAAAATTAAAGATTTGGAGGCGTAATTTACATGTACATTGGCATTTTAAGAACTATTTTCAAAGAAAATATTGGAATAACATTTTGAAATCTTTGGTTAAAAGGAAGCGTCTAAGATATTGCTAAAACAGAAACAGAGGCTCAAATCCATATATAAATATATAAAAAGAAATATAAAGTAATAGTTTTATGGGATAAACTTTACACTCTTTGTAACAATTTTTTTTAAATATTTTTATTATTAGTTAAAAAGAAGCAGCTGGTTAAAGTAACATGAAATTATGTCATAATAACAAGAAATTAAAAATCGTTAATTCCCCCGAAACAAAATAACTGCTCTTTATCATCAAACGGCTGAACAGATTTTCTTAAAACACAGCTAAGAATATTCACTATTAAGACTTCTTTCAATCGACAAAATCTTAATCAATATTGGTTCATTCGTTCAGGAGAATCGTATAGACAGGTACACATTACAAGAATATAACACCCCTCTGTTTTCGTCAGGGATTGAAAATATTTATTGGGCCATTTTCAAATTTTCTGCAGGTTTTCTTTTCCCCTCATGATTTACATATTTTTATTATTTTAATATATAAAAATTTACGAACTTTGAATGAATAAATAAATTAATTGAAAATACTTTATATAAAATTAACTTTTGTGCTAATTATTTCCACATTTTTTTTAAAAGTAACATAGTGATTATTTTTGGTAACAGAGGTGTTTTCCATACAAATTCACTATGTCCCAGACATTAATACAGTGCAAAAAGACGTAGAAAAACTTGCTTTTTTCCTACATTGATACATAAAAAAATTATGATTAATAAATATAGAAATTATTATTACATATTCAATGCTTTAAAACAAAATTTTGTTCTAAATTGTTTTCTTTTACTTTTTGTAATCCCTGTCCCGCGTTCCATGTAATATCACAGCAACATTCTGTTACTATAGTAGTTCACTTTAAAAATACAGATAGCGCTACTACAGGCGCCTGCAATAACCTCGGTGCAATGTCTAAAATTGTTTGAAAAAGTTCGCGGGGCGGGGGGAACGACTGACACGTGTCAGTCGAGCGCGCGCTGTGGAAGGAGGAGCGTCTCTTTATTCAACAACCACACTGTTACCAATATTTTCGCGTAAGTAATCAATATTTACTGTTACATTTTACATTATCCATGAGTTTTAGGTGTGCATGTCTCAAATATGTAGCAATAATTTCCCTTTATGCCTTATATTATGACTAATTCTATATGGAATCTAAAATTTACCACTCTGTTACTGAAGAACTCTGTTACTAGTTGGAAGTAACAGTGTTGTAAGCTGAGTAACAGAGTGGTTGTTTATCATAGTTCAATCTTATTTCACAAGTTATATAGTAAAAAATTATTGGTTTCAGGACTTTTACTTGTACTGCTGATCGCTTTTCTATATGGCTTTAAGGCCTGCTGAAAAGCAGCGATGTTATAGGGAACGACGCAAAAAGGATCCTGAAAAAGAAGCTGCAAATAAAAGAAAAGACCTCGAAAGATACCATGCAAAGAAACGTTTTGTGAAAAATTTTACGTCTCAGGAACACCGAGCAATAAAAAAATGGCGAGCTGCAAATGCCAGACGGAGGGACTGGACCTAAGCTCTTCGTGTAGTAATGCATACTCCAGAATCTTCACCGAGAATTATGACTCCACGTTCACGCACTCCAACTCCGCTGGGCCCAAACCAAGTTCCGCCACGAGTTCTACCGTTGAATCGCCGTTTATCAACCCCTCAACTATTGACTCCCCATGAAAGTAGCCCTGGTTCAACTTCTGCAGCAAAACGGGGCCGGAAACAAGTAAAAAGAAACAGAACAAAACTGTTTAGAGAAAATCAAAGATTGAAAGAAAAAATTGAAGAAATAAATAAAAAATATGAAAAATACAAGAAGAGATATAATAAAAGGGTCGAAAAATGAAAGCGATGATTGTAAAAGCCAAGATAAGTATAACATATTGGCGAAAGCTATTAAAAAACGTTATGAAAAAGTTAAAAGTCGGAAAGAAAAGATAGCTATACAAAAATATTTGAGAGAAGGAAGTTAAATGTTCTAGAAAGAAAATGCAAATAATAAAAGAGTGCTTGAATGTGGATCAAGGTTACATAAGAAGGGAACAACCAAAGCTGAGGAAAAAAATTGTAAGTGACAAAATTAGAGATTTTATTTTAAATCGTGATGATGTATCGAGAGCAACTGCAGGAAAAAAAGAAACCGTTACCCATAAGAAAAATAAAATGCAAAAACGTTACCTACTGGACAGCATGAAGAACCTCTTTGCTTCGTTTAAACGAGAAAATCCTGACATGAAATGCTCCTACACTACTTTTACTCGATGCAGACCGTCTTATGTAATGCTTCCTACTGTTGCTGGAAGAGAAACATTTATGTCGATTGCACACAAACTTTCAGTACTTGGCAATTGCTTTGTGTAAAAATAAAGTAATTCCGACCACAGATTTAAATAAAATTACACAAGAACATACATGCGATGAAAATTTACTAGCTTGCATGACAGGACTGTGCTCTGAATGTTATTTGAAGAAAATTGAATATGATAGTACAAAGGATGACTTAATAGTAAAGTATATTCAGTGGGAAAGGAAAAAATGAAATTGTAGAGAAGCTGGGAAAAAAATACAAAGTTACTAAAAATATAAAAGAAGAAAAGCAGAGTACTGTAAAATCTTTAATAGATGTATTTAAATTTCAACTCCAAGAGTTCAAAAGGCACGTTTATTACATAAAGTCACAATACAGAAACTACAGAGCTTGTATAGACGAATTGTCCGAAAATGAAGTAGCATTACATGTTGACTTCAGTGAGAATTATAGCTGTAAATATTTCGAAGAAATACAGGCCCATCATTTTGGAGGTTCACGAAATCAAGCATCTTTACACACTGGAGTCATGTACCTGCGAGGTTTAGATAATAAAATAGAGGTGACATCCTTTTGCACCGTTTCTGGTAATGTAACTCACAGTCCAGCTGCAATCTGGGCTCACATTCATCCCATCTTATCTTATATTCAAGAAAATTATACAGAAGTAAAAATCATACACGTTTTCTCAGATGGGCCTGCCTCACAGTACCGGCAAAAACAAAAATTTTATCTGATTTGCAATAAATTTTTTCTCTGCATATAACTTCTATAGAGTAACATGGATTTTTTTTCGAGGCAGGGAACGGCAAGGGTGCAGAAGTCGGAGTGGTGGCTTTTTGAAATGCACTGCTGATCAACTTGTCGCACGTGGACAGGATATTGCTGATGCCTCAATGTTCTATTCTGCTTTAAAGGATATTAGTAAAATAAAAAATGCATTTTATTACTAATAAAGACATTAATATATGGTTCATGGAGATTTCAGACATTGTTTTACCATTATCTGGCACCATGAAAGTCCACCAGGTGTTCACTGAAGAGAAAGGAGATATAGAGACTTGAGCTGTTTCTGCAGGCGCGGCTTTTGTTCTTGCATGGATCCCAAAGAATACCGTCCACTAAAATCAAACTCTGATGAATGTGAACCAGATTTTATGAAAGAATTAGGCAACTTAGTCCATCCACAAAGAAACCCATTCTATAACACTGTCTACAGTTCTGACACTGATGATGATATTCCTTTATTAACAGTGAAGGACAACTTTTCACTTGGACAACCCAGTACATCAAAAGGAATTGATAATGATGCTTTGATAGAGAAGGAAAATATGCATTTTGTTAAAATAAAACATGGTGTGTGCGTGTTAGTCAAAGTTTCAAGCCTGAAGCAAGATTACATTTATTTGGGAAAAGTGCTGAGCGAAGTAGAAGATGGTGGCGAGGTAAAAATTATGTTTTTCGGATCTATGGACGATACTGCAAAAAAAATTTGACTGATTGAGACTGATGTGTCTTACGAGCCTTTTGAAAATTTAATTGCAATCGTCCCAGACCCAAAAAAGTATACAAAGGCAAAAGAGTATACTACCAGTTTGACTCTCCATTAGAAATATTTGAGAAGTAGTGTTGGTCTCATTGTGATAAATATGATCTCATAATTATTTTTATCTTTTAGTTTTTAAAACTGCTTAGTTATGAGAATATCATTAGCGTGGTCTCATGTAAGAATTTTAAATGATAAGCTTAAGTTTTTACGCTAGGCGTAGTACAAAAACAACTATGTTAATTATTTACAACTATGTTACTTTTCTGTCCCAAAGATTGTAAGGTCTAAAATATATTTTTTAGGTAAACTAGACCTCAAAATATTTTAAATGGGCTATGAGCCAGTTAGTAATATTTGTAGTTTTCAAAATAGCATTATAAGACGTTAAAAGTATAATTTCCAGAGACTTTAGTAAAATAATACAGTTTGTTAATGTATCAAAAGTAACAGAGTTGTTTAAGAATTTATTTAATTAAATATTAGTAATAGTTTGAAGCATGATTCTGCATGTTTTCAAAATATTTTAGACTATATTAACAATGATGCCAACAACTTGTGATTCATGTGTTCGTTATAAAAATAAAAGAAAATTTACATTGGTAACAGAGTAGTATTTAATTTCGCCTCCAACGATAAAGTCTGAAAAAAAACTCAAAATTCCTAAAAAAACATCGTGACCAACAACAGTACTTTAAAACTTAATATATATAATAGTCAAATATAAATGAAAAAATGATATAGCAATAGTTTAAAAAAAAATCTTTTTTTAGATTTAAAGTAAGAATAACCTGCACAAATTTTGAAAATGGCCCTATTATTTATCCTTGAAATTTATTATTATTAAACTTTTTATCGTTTAGATATTGTTTTGACACAAGTTTGAAACAAACCTGACGGTCTAAACCATATTCTTTACTTGTACCCCTAAAACAGTCTTTTTTCATCCAGGGAACTCTTTATCTATATCAAAAAAAAATAGACGTAATGTGATTCTGAAGACTTTTTTATTTCTCCCTTATCATTCATATCGGAGTTTGAACTACATTTATCATTTTTATTTTTGATTTGAAGCTGCAAGAACCAGGGAGCATGTACTAAATAGGTTTTTATACGTAGCTAGAATGATAAATATATTAGAGCTAAAATATTACTATTCTAACAAGTAAAGTAGTAACTCATTCATATATAGATTCATACATAATATTATATACCTATAAAAATATTAATAAACAAAAACGTGCTAAAAATATTTAACTGTAAAATAAATAATATAAATATTTATTTATATACAACACTCCTTAGTTTATATGTAAAGAGGACTAATAAACTGATTATTTCATTGTTGTCTAAAAAAAATCTTTGTGCTCATTTATGCAACAAAAATGATTGCCTACTCTTTCTTTTCTTCTAGTAAAAGCCCATAATTGGATAATCTGCGTCTCTTGTACCAAGAAGGATTATACTTAACTGTCACGAATACGTCTTACAGATTGGCGATCGCAATAGTACATTGACCTACTTAAATTAATGATTTTTGAGCAGAGCCACGCTGCAGCTATATTATAGTTGTAGCACTAAAGGATCACCTCAGCTGGTGAAGGACTATGTTTTCACAGATTTCCACCGTCAAATAGCAACCAAATTCAGTAATGTTTCGTATAATGAGTATAGAGAAACGGTGAACCTTTATACTAGAAATGAAAAATATCATCTTAGTCTTCTAGGGTGACAATGCATCCGCATTTTCTTCATGGAGGATAGATTAAGACCTTTTAGGCGCATAGTATTCCCTTACTATGTGATTCTGTAGTCGTTTGTTACCCTTATACTAGAAAAAAGCGTTAATGTGATCTTACGAAAGTGACAAAGTTAAACTGAGCTTTGAGTGGAAAAAGTTATGAAAGGTGGGTGGACAGCCTAGCTATACGTATGAGACAGTCATTAAAAGAGTATGTGTATGCATGCCAAACACCTCACTCCGATGTACGCTCATCACTCGGTTGCAAGAGTTATCGAGCTGAGTGTCTGAAACACTCAGGCTTTATACACGGTTACAGTATGATGGTGGCGTAACAGAACCCATTATCGCATTTCATTCCGCGGATATCCTAATAGGCGACTATTAAAAATGCCAAAAAATCTTATGGCTTCCGATAAATGGTAGTATAACCTTTTCGTTTACGCCCGACTCAAAATACCCAGACTAGCGACTGGCACAAGCATCAAAGGTCCGAGACGTTAGGTTCTCCGATCCTTAATCTGCTTGCCTAGCGTTGAACTTGTGGTAAATCCTGTTTAAATTAGAAGAGGCTCATCTCTAGAGGATTATTACGGGCTTAAGTATACGATTAATAAGAATATGAAGAAAACTTAAAACGGTCATTAATAATTTCTGAAACTTACCGGTAGTTATTAAAATTGTTATAATCAAACTGAAGAGTAGCATCCCACCGGCTTCTAAGTGGTAATGCGGTCGAAAGTTGCGTGTCACATTAACTTAGCTCAACAAAATGCATGACAATCACACTGTAATAGGATGAAAAACAGATGCTGCGAAATTATTCCAGTCCACAGCCATACGCAATTTGAACGACGAATCCTTTCGGTTTCAATACGTGGTGTATCAACAACAAAGGTCGATTCAAGTTTATTCAATAATTTCCATCCGATAATGAAACCAGAAGGTAGGAATTAAGTCATGTAATTTATAAACTGCGCACACTCTCCGAAATATATCCTGTCATTCACGGAAAGACTTGCTGGATTGTGCCTGTGGTCGAGACTGATAATATTAGTTCTAACCATATTTAGGTTATCAATAGACATCTTATCACGCTCATCTGTTGGTCAAAAGCTGCTAGGTGATATTTTGAAACAACGGCCTGTATAATATGTAGTACTTTACATAATTAATAAAAAAAGTCCAGGTTTAAAGTATTGCCGTGCTTTAATATCTATTTTCTTTCGATAGATTTTGTTTCGAAATTAATGAATTAACCAAAGTTCAGTTTCGAGGAAACCTTCACTAAAGGTGGTCAGTGTATTCAAATAATGCATTTTTGAAATAAGCACCCAAAGTGATCTAGCTCCTTTTTGCTGTGAAGAGACACGCGTTATGAAGACATTGAATCTCACAAGGTTGGCATCGTCCGATTCGAAGACTACCTACAACAGTAAAAGAATTTGAACCTTCATAGCTTGCCTTTTAATTCATGTTGCTCTCGACTATACGGAGCAATCGACCAATATCTCTCCACAATTGTTCTGTTATCTGCATACCTCGAGATATCAAGAATAATCAGGACAATAATATGAAGCAAAAACAGAGTTGCGAGAGGAATGGAACCCTGGGCAATACGTCAACAACTCTAACTCGAACTTCGACAACGATTTTGAGAGGCTATTCACTAAAAAATTTCTTCACATTGCTGATAAGACTAGAAGATAACCCATTCGCTGAAACTTTGCGTAATAGGCTAACAAGTCAGACCATGTCAACGGCCTCTAAGAGATCAAAGGAAACAGCTCGCGTCTGCAATCTTTTCTAAGTCCCGTTCGCAAAGACGACTCAAGGAATAATTTCGGTCGACAGACCATCCCACATGTCAGTCACCTGTTGAGCCATGTCCAGATATTTTGTTTACTTATTTGTTTCGGCATTCACGAGGTTCTCATTATGTGGAATGGTACTGTGTACGAAAATACTCTTGACTATGCCTAGTCCATCAGCATAATATCAGACTTATTTGTAACAACAGTTTTGTCTGTGATGATGCCCTGGTACCTATAGAGCCTGGCGCGGTCATTTTCGAGCGCGGTTTCCGATTTATAATAAGGCAGTTTCTAAACGATGAGACCGCGTTTCAGAGCGAGCTTCTGGTATGGATTGTGTCTGTGCAAGTACTCTGTGCACAGACTACTATGATGCTTACGCATCAGATAGGGCACTCCCATAGAGTTAAACTGTACTCGTCCAAGCTCACATATCATGTTTGACAGAACGTTTATTTTTTAATTTTCCATAGTCACGATCAAAGCGTGGTACGATACAGCCTTTTTTGTTATAGAACCTAGATCCTCTTTATTTATTATTCTAATTATTAAATATTACGAATTCATAAAAATGTTTGTATTTAGATGGATTCGATTCGCGCTAGTTATATGGGAAATGTAAAAGAAAAGATCACTGTGTTATTTAAACTTTTTTATTTCTTAATTTTGTTTTAAATTTATTAAAAGCTTTTTATTGGATCTGAGGTAAAGTTTTATTTTCTATTCTTAGAACATCTGTACCTTTCAATATATTATTTATAATATTGCACCAATTAAACACTGTCAATCTTAAATTTAGAGTTAAAAAGTGTTCAGAAACAGTATCCTTATGCAGTTTGCAGTTAAACAGTAACAGTATAAAGTCAAATAAATACTTGAATTTGATAAGAGTTTTTATATTTTTCATAATAAATCTCTGTTGAGGTTTGGTCTCCAAGTATTGTGTTACTATCCCACAAAATCTCACAGCGTTTTCCGAAGGGTAGATCAATTTCTTTTCTTTTATACTTTTAAATTCTTTAAGATAAATCCAATTATTGATAGAATTTTTATCAAAATTGGATTCCCTGTTCGTTAAATTAGCTTCACACTGCCGACAATAATTTTTTTTAGTATGTTTCTTACGACCCACCCAGCGGTATATGCACATGAATGAACATAAATTTTTTCCTGCTTTGCTGAACTTTCACTTTCTACCCAACTCGATTGCTCATAGGACTCAAATGAAGGGATTTGTTTAGTAATATCAATTTTTTCTTTTGTACAAAATAATGATTTTAATTTTAATAATTGTTCACCAAAATCCTCTTCACAATTATAACTATCTGAATGGAACTTTATAAACCTTGTGATTAACAGTGATCTAAAGGTACTTTTGAATGTTTGGCATTCAAAAGTATTTCTAAAATTGTATGCCCGCATTTGTCCAAAAAATTTTCTATAGGATCGGAATTTAAATACCGCGGGTGCAAAACTTTAATATTTTTTGCACTTAGATATTACCATAATCTCTGATAACTTTTAAGAGTTGTTATCCAGTTTTTTAATGAAGGCACAGATGTTTCTTTACCTTGATTATCTATAAATTTTATGCTCTGCAGTTTTAGGATGGCCTCCCTCCAAAATTCCTGATGTGAGGATTTTTTGTTACTGCTTGTCTTAAAGCTTTTCCTTTGGACATTTTATTGTATGAAGTTCCATTAACTGAGTCAAAAAGAACGTCGAAGAATGATATAATTTCGGCTGTATTTTTCAATGTCGAGCTTACTTGTTTTCCATCTGCATAATGAGCTAAAAAAATAGGCCACATAAAGGGTTTGTTCAAACTCAATTCAATTTTAATTTATTTCAAAACAGTTAAAGTTTAGCTTTGACTTTCCAGCAAGCTGGAAATATTATACCAAATTTAGCTTAGGAACTTACAAAACTGAGCAGTATACGATAATGTAGCAGCAACTCTCTTGCTAAACACTCTGGTGCATTTTTTATCTGAAATATAAATAACAAAGAAATTAAAAACTTGTAACAGAAAAATAGTACATTTTTTACTATTTCACAATGTGAAGGACATAGAAAAAAAAAACAGAGATATTTAATAAAATAATAATTACCTTCATCTTTTTAATTTTCTCCGAATCACATGTTCATAATTTAATTTATGAAAAACTCATCTGTGCAAAGCAGTCTTTTATATACTTCATCAATGTCATTCCACTTTAAAATCTTTTCATTATATTTTATGTCTTTATTTAGGAAATTATTTCTTAATCCTTTTATTAGATGAGGTGGATCGTGAATTACACCAAGTGTATGGCCATTAATTACAATCACATCATCTGAAAAATAATTACAATTTAGATACAAACACCAACCCATAATTTTATTCTTGATAAGTGATCGCATATAAAAAAGGCAAGGCCTACTCACCAATCCTTTCACCTAAAATTATTTGCTCTCGCCTTGTATCCTCTTGAAGGCTCTTTAAGGCAGATTGAAATGCTGTGCCCTGATCACAGACTAGAGCCACTGGTCTGAGTCCTGTGTTACCTACAGCTGTTACCATGTTCTTGATAATTATTTTTAATTCAACTCCTGAAGTTGCTCCTTTACAGAAGTAGAAGGCCAGGGGTTGTTGCCACTTGTGAACAACTCCTCGCAACATATAAACATGGGCATGGTCAGCAAAATCATTTGCTTTTTTGTTAACCTCAACAAATCCACTAATTAAATCTTTATGTTTGTCATATGACACTCCAACTTCTAAAACCACTTCATCAAACAGTATGGAACAATATTTTTTCTTTTGATCCCAAGTGTTGACCTGTGAGCAATATAATTAGTCAATATTAACTTTGATATACATATATACTGTGTAGTTGTAGCATCTATGGATATCCACTCGTTTTTAATAATATATAATATGTAGTAATGGTTACACGAGCACACAGTCAACTTGACTCTGGCCCATAGACATTACATTTATCCTCGATTAATAATCAAAATGCAGATGCGTTGTCACATCTGAGGACTAATATGGAATGGCTCGTTTTCAGCAAAAAGGCATCTCAGGTTCATTACACTAATCATACGAAACACAACAGCATTGTGGAGCTGCTATTTCACTCTAGAATAAGGGTTACAAACAAGCACACCTGCACCACCCCCGAGGACCAAATGGAATGCCCAGTAATAAGTGTAGCTCTACTGCATTGAAAATTTACTTGCAAATTTCAATGCTCATTTACCACGTATTTGATAGTGAAGAAAAACATCGGAAAAGGAATCTGCATGTTTAAAACAAAAAAAAATATTTTGAAAAGACAAGGTTAAAAAATTACAGTCTAACAGAAGTAGACTATAACTATGGTATAATATATAGATTATGGAAAAAGTAAATTTATTTAAAAAAATACACTGCCTCTGTTTTGATAGCATCAAATATTTGAGCATTGATTCTTGCTTCTATATTTAGTTTGGCAATCATTTTGTTTATAGTATATTTTGACGGTAAGATAAATATTCTATGAAGAAATCTATAGCACTTTGGGCTCTGTTTCATTATTGCCATTGCTATCAATTTTTCTTCATCAGAAAATCGCCTGCCCCTCGCTTTTTTAGTGCATTTTTAATCTGCATCCATAAAAACTTCTCCAATAATCTCATACATACACAATCAATAATAATCCATACATATCCTAATCCATAAAAACTTTTAGCTATGGATTCAATTTTTCCGTGAGCTTAACAAATGATTTTTCTTTTGAAAATTTCACCGCTTTTTTTACTCGTAGACTGAAATTAAGCTGCCTCTGTGATTTTGTGTATTGCCTGTAAAGCTTAGCACAATGCGGTGACAGCTTACTTGTCTTTATGATATGCTGCTTCCTCCTTGTTATTTGAGAACAAAGTACATGTTTATCTAAAATATAAAAAAAGGAAATAAGAAAAAATAAGTTTTTTACCCCCTTCAAATACTCATTGTAGCATTTTCTACCGATAATTCAATTGGGTGTACAGTTGATGTTTTTACATCATGTATGGGATGTCATTAATTATATTTATGTTAAAGTGAAATATTTTTTCAGATATAAGGAGAAAAGGCATGTAGTTATAAATTGTGCAAACGTGTAGTATAAATAAATCAATTTAGTATTATCATTTTTATAAACAATTTACTGTCAGGTATGCAAATACTAATGATTACTAATTTTTAAATTTCTTACCTGCTTGGTACTTCCATGGTTCCACTTGCATATCTTGATGTAGAAGGTAAGTTTATCTTCTCATTCATCTCATTGCCTAATGCTAAATTTACATCTGATTCCATTTCTGTAATATAACAGATTTCTTCTTTAATCAAAGATTTACCAAATTCAAAAACATTTCAGTTCTCACCAGTATTAAGTTATTTTTTAAATAACTTAATACTACTAGTGAGAACTTAAATGTGTACAACATTATTAAGGAAACTGTTCAAAAGTTAAGATATAGATTATAAGGACTCGTAAGAAAAGCTATTATGCAACCCAATTAAAAATTCATAACCCTTAATAAGTAGCACTACAATCAAAAGCCTGTGTATGTGATGTCAGCAAATTGTGATGCAATTATGTCGGTAATATTGAAACAAACAGAAACACAAATTATGGATGCATTACACAATATATTATTTTATATAATCAGAATATTTAATAACTTTTTATGTAATTATTAGAAAGAATTGTACCAAAACTTACCAGTATTGTCAGTATTTAAAGCCTTAAAGTGTTTTTCTACAACTTCTGGAATACCGTAAGTGTGATCCAAATGCTGCCTTTTTTGCAATAATTGTGATCATGGTTGACTTTCTCTGAAAAAAACGCAAATAATATTACATTACTACATGTATCAAATAATCATGATCTGGTAAATGTTGGCATTCAAACGAACGGTGAAAGATTTGACATTGGTAGAATTATATTAAGAGAAGCTATACGCTAAATTAAGTTAGTTTGAAAACTACAGGTACTAATTATAGCTTTACAATTAATTACTACTATTTCATTTTATTACAATACTTTATATATTGTAGAGCCATACTACAGCTATCTTATGGTAGTAATATGAACCAGGTGTGTAAAAATAGCAGCTCAATGCTGCTGTGTTTTGCATGGTAAGTGTAGAGAACTGGAGACCCTTTTTACTGGAATAAGGCATTCCATCTTAGTCCTCATGGGTGACAACACATCTACACTTTGATTCTTAATTGAGGTTAAATATACAGTGTGTCCGGTCACATAGTAGCGATATTCTAGGTACTTTTATAACAGCAATTTAAATACACAAATACACTACACACTGAGGTCTAATCCCCTCCCCCTCTATGTCACAGTCATTTTGTTTTTTTCTTGAGATATTCTCTACGTGTATACAAAAAATTCATATCTCTCAGAGTTTTCATCTTACTGAGATAAAAATTGGCTCATTCGGAGGGCAACAATATTGTCTTTCGTTTACGTTACCAAAAAGTTTGTTCACATACCCGTAACTTTAAAAAAATATTTTACTTCAAATATAAATATCAAAAAACTATGCTAATCGGCAAATTATTGTAAATTACTACGAAAACAACCCCATTAACCTTTTTATTTCTTTCATTAGATTGACAGATTTTTACCACATGCTCGGCGGTGAAGGAAACCATCGTGAGTAAACCGGCATGTCTGAGAAGTAAAAAAAAAATATTTCGAAGTCATGTGTAGTTCGCCAACTCGCATTGGGACTGCGCGATGGACACTTCCTTGCCATAAATTCATTTCAGAACTGAGGGGAGGCCTGTGCCCAGCGGTGGAACATTTATAGGTACTTTTATAGGTTTGAGGCATTAAGTACCTAAGAACTCAGAATGTATTACCATATGGGTGATGCAGCATCACTTTAAAGTAGCAGTTGATCACAACACCATTGTACTTACCAGTTTCAACGACGATTCTTGCAGCCGTTTGCGGAATACCACTGGACATCTCGCTAACATTAAACAACGTTGGATAGGCGTTGAGGCAAAGACGAACTCTTTCGCGCGTCATGGCAAGAAACCTCTTCTCAAAATGTTTTCGACAAACAAAATGTTTACGAGGTTTCTGGGAAGTAAAGCTGCGCAGTCTTTCACAGTTAATACACTCTAACCATTTTTTTAAGTCCTATCTCACTTTTTGGAAACATATGAATCGTCTACTAGCACACGTTGAAATTGGTTGTCATACATCTTGCAAGACAAAATAATATTACAGCTTCAGGAATTAGAGGATTAGTTACGGAAATAAATCAACGTAAAACTACATTCGATCAACTTTGAAACTATAATAAAATAACGACTTTTTGACATTGACAGAAAATGTTAAAGAGGTGAAGGAAGAGAAGGGGGTAGAAGCAGCTGTCATTTATGATATGTGAACCATAGACTTAGGGCTCTCATAACTTGTATGAAGATTAACTCCGTGACTCAGTGTTAGAAAGAGCCGAACAAACAAAAATGACATGCCTAAGCGATTCACCGGTATGGTTACAAGCTCGACAGATGATCACCGGCGTCATTCTTTAAGATGTATATCCGAAAATGGTTGGTCTTAATAACCTGGTCCTGTATCGCACACTACTACTACTGACACAACCTTCAGTTTCCTCAAAGAAGTCACCAAAGCGTAGCCATTGAAAGGAGGCGACTGGAGTTACGAAAAGCTCATTAAGAGCCACGTAGAACCCTCCCATGGAGCTTTTTCTCCTTCCATACGGTCTCTCGATCAAAAAAATGAGCACATTTTGCGATTATGCATAGTGAGCGTACTTAAAAAGCTACACTTACCAAACTTCCGCAGCAAGCACAGCCTCGTTACTGACGATCTCGGATGGTGCATCTTATGTGGCGTCATAACATTGCGGACTTTTTTATCCAGAGTGTTCAGTTCGGATTGAGTCCATCTGAGTATGTCAAAGGTATACATGAGGTCAGGTATGACTCAAGCGTTTTATACATTTGTCTCATTCACGACAAATAGCTGCTAAGCACTTTGGCCAAGCGTCCATAAAACAGATCGCAAACTGATTTATGTTCACCTCATTAATACCTTTATTTTGTGACATACCCAGGTATCGTTATGTTTTAGCCTCGGAGAGGGTTTGTATGATAATGGGCATAGATAAGTCTTCGAAGACCGCACACTTATCCGTCCATAATTCTTATAGAAACGCTAACATCACAAGTGGTGTTTCGCAATTCCATAAGATGGGAGCGATTGTAGGTAAATAATTTGAGATCATTTATATAGAAAAGGTCAAAAAGGGCTCCTCCCGGAGCCCTCCAGTAAGGTACTGGGAAGCTTCAGAGAGAGGCAAAACCTAATTGGACTCAAAAAAATCGCCTTGAAATATTTGCAGCCTTCATCCGCTCGCCTAGATAACAAAGGATCGCACTTCACTGAACCATACACTGTCAGCGGAAGTTTCTTACTATAAAGTAAACCTTGTATAGCTTGAGGACCCTATTCAGCCATATATGCAATGGTTGAGTTTAATCACCTTGTCAATGACCGCGTTAGTAAGAAGTGGTTTCTTGGTTCTATGACTGTTGCTCTAACATCCATGTTGAGCGCGCGATATCACCTGATTTAAGCCAAATGGATGTAGGTATCTTGTATATGGTCGGTAGAAACGTATTTGCTCAGGTCTATGATATCTCCGTTTTAGGAACTAAATAAGTAATCCCGGTAGTGAACAGGCTCGGGAGTGACTTCTAGTTGAAAACCTCTTAAAACACCATGAATCCCTTTAGCCAGTAGTGCTGCTGCAGTATAGTGTCCCGAACATATCCAGTTTGGGGCCATACGGACCGGCTCAGCCACGTCATCCAGCGTTATGATAACATGACATGACCATGGGCGTAACATTTGCACATTGACTCGTAACGACTTATGTCCAAGTGTCGTCGCTGTGGCTTACGGGCTACACGTCACGCCGTAACACGCAACGTGAAATAGCCTATTACGCTGTGGCCGATCATGCGACGTCACGTTATGGTTCCTTACAATAATGCATAAGCTATAGAATGGTGGCCGTAGTATACTGGCTTTTGGTATTTATTTAGGCCAATCGGGAAGAGAATGACCTTTCAAGTAGTGAGCGTCGCCTACAGGTAACCTGTCTCTGTCTTCTTTCTATCTTGTATTGTTTGAAACTCGCTTGTTATTTCACTCAACGAAACAGCGGGATGTTGTCTGTTTTTGTTTGTATTATTTATTGTTTTTTCGGTATTTTGGCTTCTGTATGTCTGAGAAACAAAAACAATATTTGGAATACATTTGCAGTTCGCCAACAGCACAAACAGCGTAGCGGACATTTCCTTGTCCTAAAACCCTCTAAAACATTTGTGAAAGCCTGTCCCAGAGTGGGGTGTATATAAACCGTAACTTTTAACTAATAAACATACTTTGCGGGTTGTGCTTTCAACGTCTATCTGCATAGTTATGTATGTTACTTACATAGACGTTAAACATGACTTTTACTATTAAGGTCATTATTACCTATATTGCAGAGGACCCCCCAGTGATTCTGTAATAATAACTATATCGTCGTCAAATCAAATGTGAGAAATTTACTTGGGACACCTTTATAGCTCGAAAAACTGACAACCGATGATAAATAAATGTCCTAGTGTCAGCCTCGTAGCAGTAGGCGAAACGTAGTACGGTCCGTAACTAGATGGAGTGACGACCTAGTAAAGGATACAGGAAGTCAATGCAGGTAGATCAGGACCTTGCTCTGTGGCATTTCTTAAAGGAGGCCTATGTTCAGCAGTGGACCTGAAATGAGCCATAATGATGATGAAATTTTGAATATAAATTACAATAGATACGTCCTAGTCTTATCGTAGACTGAATTAGAAAACTTTTAAGTTAAAATACATAACGTTTAGGTAATATAACGATTTAATTTAAACTATAAAATATTGAAAAAATATATTCATAAGAAATTTCAAAAAAAATTCATAACTATTAAGATTTTTTTTAATATTCTCATTCGCAAATTTTGATATTTAAGTAGATTTTTATTTATTCAAATGTTTATAAAGTAAAGATGGGTAAAGTATTTCTAAGGATCTTTTTCGTAATCATGTCACGAGGGTTTTCAAAAGAATTTCCAAAGCTCGTAGCCGCAAGACAAGTCATCAATCAAGCACGAGATTCACTTCGTCAAAGTCAACGGCAATTAAAAGGTTTAACAGTGGTAGAGACACGCGGCGAGGTCGGCTCTGCTCTTTCTGACCGAGACGCAGGTGTCCTCTCCGGCTGATGTCTCGTATCTCTCCTGCCCGGGTTACAAACTGGAACACTCCTTTGTGCCTCGGGCTGGAGTTTGCGTTTACGTCAGAGAGGAAATCTGCTCTCGACGCCTCGGCAGACTTGAAGGTTCGGACCTGTCCATCCTTTGGCTACGCGTAGACAGCGACGACCATCCGCGCGTCTACGGGTGCCTCTATAGGTCCCATAGCGGTAATGCCGAAACAGACCAACTATTCGACCACGTCCAAATGGCTGCAGATTCGCTGCTACAGCAGATCCCCTCCGCAGAGATCGTAATCCTCGGCGACTTTAACGCCCATCACGCCGAATGGCTTGGTTCACGTTTAACCGATCATGCGGGGCGATCTGTTCATGATTTTGCCTTGGCATATGGTTGCAATCTGCAGGCTGCCGCCGTGTTTGGCACTATAGGTCAGCCGATTGGGATGGGATGCGGTCTTTCTTTGCATCCTAACCTTGGGGGCGGGTTTGCTTCTCGCCGGATAATCCCAACGTTGTTGCGGATTCTGTTGCTGATGTGGTACTTCAGGGTATGGAACTTTTTATTCCTTCCTCTTTAGTGCCCATTGGAGGCAAGTCTCAGCCATGGTTTGGTCGCTCCTGTAAAATAGCATCATGCTATAAGCAGGGAGTGCTACCAAGCCTGGGCTGATGCATCAGCGTCCCGGGATGTAAACACCAGCGCTCCAAAAAAGAAGTATAATTCCGCCTCTAGGTCCTTCAAAAGAGTCATTGCCAAGGCAAAGTCAGAGCACATAGGCAGAATTGGCGAGAAACTAGTTCGCCTTCCTTCTGGAACCCTTGCATTCTGGTCTCTCGCCAAGGCTGTCCAGGGGAATTTCTGTCAGCCATCTCTTCCATCTCTGCACAGGGAGGACGACTCACTGGCCCATACCGCAAAGGAGAAAGCCGATCTTCTAGGCTCTTTCTTTGCGTCTAACTTGACTCTCGATGACGGGGGAGTACTCCGCCGACCATCCCGCGGTGTGAGTGCTCCATGCCGGAAGTGCACTTCACACAGCGCTCGGTTCGCAAAGCACTCCTCTCCCTGGACATCCACAAGTCGAGTGGGCCTGACGGAATCCCCCCAATTGTGCTGAAGACGTGTGCTCCAGAGTTGGCACCGGTTTTAACGCATCTTTTCCGGTACTCCTACTCCCTAGGCGTAGTCCCAAAATCATGGAAGACGGCTTACGTCCACCCGATCCCTAAAAAAGGCGACCGCTCTGACCCGTCCAACTACCGGCCAATCGCCATCTGCTCCTTGTTCTCGAAAACAATGGAGTCCATTGTAAACTGCCAGCTCATGAGGTACCTTGAAGATCACCAGCTGATTAGTGACCGCCGATACGGTTTTCGCCGTGGTCGGTCAGCTGGTGATCTTTTGATCTACCTAACTCACAGATGGGCGGAGGCAGTAGAGTTCAAGGGGGAGGCATTGGCCGTTAGTTTGGACACTGTGAAGGCCTTCGATCGGGTTTGGCACAAAGCGCTTCTTTCGAAGCTCCCTTCCTATGGACTTCCCGAGAAATTGTGCGATCGGATCACCAGCTTTCTTGCAGATCGGAGCATCAAGGTCGTTGTAGTCGGTGCAAGCACCGATTGCAAGCTTATTAATGCTGGTGTTCCACAGGGCTGCGTGCTATCGCCAACGCTGTTTCTTCTGCATATCAATGATATATTGCAAACCCGTAGCATTCATTGCTATGCAGATGACAGCACTGGTGATG